ATGCCCTGGTTGTGGGCTCAATCCCCAGTAGGGGGCATGCAGGAGGTAGCCGATCAATGTTTCTCTCTCATCATTGATGTTTCTTTCTTTCCCTCGCCCTTCCTCTCTGCAATCAATAAAATTGTATTTTAAAAAAAGAATGTATGAAACTGACTTTCTTTCATTTATGATTTGAACAAATACATTTGCCAAAATGTATTAATCATGCATTCTAGTTAGACACAACAATGATCTAGGTACAGTGAGTAATGAAAAACATTGGCAGTGATTGTCTTCATGTTTCGCAGAGATGGGAAAATTGTTTCTAGATGGGAGTTCCTTATTCTAAACCTCTCATTGGAAGTAAACCTTAGTGGATGACAAAATTTCCCTTCTCACCCCTGTCTTCCACCCATACATAAAAAAGGCTCCCACATTGAAAAAAACAACAACACTCTTGATGCAGATGAAATGTGAGAAATGAAGTCAATATGGTGATGGATGAATCACAAAAATATATGCAGAAGTTTATTTTTGAATTTATTTGATTGTTATTGCAGATTACTCAATGAACACTGAGTTATTATTAGCAAGTTCTATCAGATGCCTGGAAAGCATCCATCACTGTGTGGTGTAGCCACTAACCGGCAGGAGTAGATGCTGTGTGGAAGAACCCACTACAGCGTCCTGAGCGTCACTGGAGAAAAATGACTAAATGGTAATTCATTGCAAAGGCCTGCACTCCACAAGGAAGTTATAAATAACAATGTCAGCACAACCATTTACCACAGATAGTGGCTAACAGTATTTTTCATGCAACTTTCCAAGAATTAGAATTTACTCAGATAGAAATAAAATATCTATCATTTTTAAAAATATATTTTTATTGGTTTCAGAGAGGAAGGGAGAGGGACAGAGAGATAGAAACATCAATGAGGTGAGAGAGGGTCATTAATCAGCTGCTTCCTGCACGCCTTACACTGGGGATCAAGCCCACAACCCAGGCAGAAATCGAACCCAGCCCAGCCCTCACCAGGAATCGAATCATGACTTCCTAGTTCATAAGTTCCTAATGCTCAGTCACTGAGCCACGCTGCTGAACAAAAATATCTATCATTTATTCTTGTTGGAGTTATAACTTATAATCATGAAAATCAATAATTTAAATTTACTTGCTCTTGTTACCATAATCTGAATCATTATTAAATGAAACCAAATGATATGCTTTTCTTTATCTCTTAAGTGGAAGTGCACATTCAATCTATTTTAAAACATTTTGCAAAGCAACATCACTTTCGGAAAACACTTGATAATTGCCTGGCAAGTGATCCTCTGATGGCCCAGTGCTATTCTTGTCATATTAGGAGCATCTTGATGAAGGAAAACCTCAGGGGATTGAATAAGCAACTGCCTCTGTGCTCTAAAGATGGGCCATACGGAAAGAAGCCCAGAATCCTTACTCTCTTGGCAAATTTAGACGAAAAATTAGCTCAGTTTAGCCATCCTGGCTCTCCATCTGCTCCCACCTCTCTGCTGCACTTGGAGCCTGTGCCCTCACGTGCAGCCTAGATACAGACATGGAGAAGCAGGTGGGGAGCGGAGCACCCAGCTGCAGGAGCAGGGCACCAGGCTGCAGGAGCATCTTAAGATTTAGTACTGTCTGTAAAGCCAGTGTTCAGCACTATCTCCCTAATTCCACACAGGAGCTGCTTGCGCTTCTTCTGCACTCCCAAGCCTCGGGGAGATATTACAAATATGGAAGGGCCAGGATAGCAAGTGAGAACAGATCGATTCCTGTTAACAGACTGAACTGGGGCTTCCCAGCTAATGATCAGTTCTGATGAAACCCTGATTTGCCTGCCTAAGCCTCCATTCATTCAGCTCCTTGATTGCATTTCCATGTACAAAAGAGTA